AATTGTTTAAGTGTTTTCAAATAATTCAAATTTTTTATTATGCATAGTACTTATTAAGCTTACTAGTACTAGACTATATACATGATTTATAGATCTTTCTAAAGAATTCTAAATTCTTTTTTTAGTATATTTAATAATTATTTATATGCTATTGTCAAGCTAATTAAAAAACTTATAGCTATTCCAATTTCTATAATTGTTGTAATTATTTTTTAATAAGGTAAAATATCTAATCTTCAGTTATTTTTATTTAAAAATAACAGACTTCAAGTTATTTTATATAATATCTAATTACAAAGAGTAAAAATATTCTTATCATTAGCTTACTTTTGCATAGAAGTAACAAACTAAAATATTCTAACAAAAATAATAAAAATAATAAGAGCTCTAGCTTCGCTCAAATCTATTCTAGTCAACTATAAATACTAGACCTAATTGAGCAAAAACTAAAAAATAATATCTAATAACTATATAACTATAATAATTTAATATTCAATAAATTATATATCTTTGCTAACTAACTATGTGAATATATATAATTTAATAATATCAGTACTTTAAAATATATTTTTTAAAATATAACTTTTTATATTTTTATATTTTTTTTCAAAATTTATTTAACTAATCTAACCTGAGTTTGCTTCATTTTTGTATTAATCAGCTTCACAAAATCTCTGTTTAAGTTCTTTAAAGGTGTAGGCAAGTTTGAATATAGGTAGAATTAAATATCAGTAAGAATTCAATTATTTTTATATAATCTGCATTTGTTAATTCTAAGTTGTAAGAGCTTTTAAATTTGCTTTAATCTTGTCTTAATAAAGTTATTAATAGTGTGAATAGATATTATTTTATTTCTAGTAGTAGGTATATTAATGGTTTCTTTATCTGATATATAAAAAGTATCAATTTCATCAAAATTAAATTTTTTATCAAAGTTGTATCCTATAACTTGTCCAGAGTCAATTATAATTTCTTCAAGTATTTTTTATAGATCTTGAGTATTATCTATATCTTCATTATTATAGTATTGTATAAATGCTAGTTGTAGTACTTTCTGTTTAGTTGGCAACTTATCTTCTATAGGTAGAGTATCAGGTATAGGTTGTTGATTATTTTGATCAAAACTAAGATCAGACCAAAGGTTATAGAAGAGATCTAGCTTTTTATTAATATTATCCATTATTATTATTGTAGACAGATATAGTAATCTAAAAATAATAAAATATATAGTATGTATATAATAATATGAAAATATTATATAGTAATGATAAAAAGTAATTTTTAATTAAAATTTTGAGATTTGGTGTTTACTCAAAATTTTACTAAACTAACAGAGTTTGTGTATTAATGAAATATTGTTCAAGAGGTCTGTATAAATCTAAAAATATTGAAATCTTGTTAATTGGATATCTGGATACTGAGATATTGGAGTTTTAGCCTTGTGTTATATGACTTAAGAGAAGAAAAGGATCTTCAAAGAATTTGGAAGAAATATTTTAAATCATTATAACAACTTTGAAGAGGTATTCTAGGTTTTAGAAGAGTTTTCTACTATAGTATAGCTTAGTACAAAAGATGTGCCAGGTATTCAAAATTATACTGTTAAAATTTCAACTCAAATAGATAAAATTGATAGACTTTACTTATAAATAACTAAAATCAATAATCTTCATAGCTTTATTCATTTCAAATATAAATATCAAATTTTAGAGAGATTTTCTACTAAGGTTAAGCTTAGTATAAAAGATGTAAATAGTCTTCAAGATCATGTGATAAAAATGTGAAGCCAAACAGATGAAAACTGATGGACTTCTCTTAGTAGTAACTGAATATAATTTTTTTCAGAAATGAGAACTTTATCTTATAGTCACTACTAAATTGTTAAATAGAGAATTCACCTCTTCTAGAGTTCTTAGAGACTGTTAATTATAGTATAAAGACTATAATATTACAGCTTGTTATATAGTATCTAGAAATAAGACTTAACAAAGAGGTTTTCATAATAATTTATATTAGAGCTAAGAGGCAAATAATAAATAGTATATGAAAATACTAAGTATTATATCTTTATTAAAAATTGTATGAAGACAAGACTGTTTTGTTGAAAAAGCAAAAAGATAGTACTTTTATAGAGAATTTACATATATAAATTATTATAATAAAGATAAGTTAACTAAAAATAACTATAAATAATAATAAATAATATAATATATATAATAGAAATGATATATATAATAGTTATAATAGAAATAGTAGATATAGTATATATAATAAATAGAGTAAATAGGATATATCTAGTATATATAATAGATCTAGTAGAAATAGTAGAAATAGTAGATGAAGTAGAAATTAGCAATTTTGAGTGTAGTTGTAATCATCTAATCAGAATTAAATTATATATTATATATAGTATTTAAAATTTAATATTCTCAGTATTCTCAGTGAATACTAAAATTATTTTAAGAATATCAATATTTAAATTAATATACTTTTATTTGAGAATATTTTATATAGATAGAATGTTTTTAAAATATTATTATTATTAAATAATAACTTTTTTTACTACTATATTAATCTTATTTAAACTCTTAAGTAAAGTTATACATAGAAACTTTCTAATTTTAATAGTACTTGAAATGTTAAAATTGGTTTAGTAAATTATTAGTTATACTTATTTTAATTTTTGCAACTATAAGTTTTTTCTTTGCAAATTTATAAAAAAAAACTTATAGTTACAAAAACTAAAATAAATATAACACATTATCTACTAAACCAATTTTAATATTTCAAATACTATTAAAATCAAAAAGTTCTTGTACATAACTTTATATAAGAGCTCAAGATAGGTTTACTTGATAAAAATATAAGTTTCTTTAAAAAATAATATTTATATAATGAAAACATTAAAAAAATTTTGAGAACATTAATACTATAAATTTAGCTTACTTAAGAACATAATTTTGAATTTGAATTTTAAACACTAGTTTTATATAAATTAATATTCATAAAACTTTAACAATCTCAAGATTCTGTAATCTAAATCATATGATATTGTGTTTATTAAAACTGTCTTGATGTGCTGATTCTAATAGTATAAGTTTTATTGAAATTGGATTGATGATTCAAAAGTTATTAGCAAAAATATGAATTTTATTATTATAACAGTAATTTAACCACAGATATCACACTACTAGACAAGAAGAAATCTGCTAGAAAAGACACAAAAATCAGAATCTCTGCATAAAGAATAAAGAATATGACCAAAATTGAATATTAATAAAAGTGATACTGCATCTGTAAATCATATGAGTTGAGAAATTGAAGACTATTAAAGGTCATACACTGCAGGATTAAAGACTTGAGATATAATATAATATTATAGACTTAAGTTACATGTAAGAACCTTACAAATTATAGTAAAATAAAAGAGTGCCACACATGCCTCTAGATGTCTGCATCAGGAATAGTTAAAAAAAATTTTGCCCATCTTATCTTGCCATATATGAAAATATGATATAATAGTTATATGCAAGTGTGAACAAGATTGCAACAATTTTTTACTGAGTTTAGATTAAATTATTTTAGTTTTTTGTAGCTTGTGTTATCTTTGTGTATGAGATCTGCTATCAAAATTTTCTTGTAATTCAATGACTAGCATTACTAAAAAACAACTAACTCTAATCCTAATTCAGGCCAAATTATGCTATAAGCCACATGAATGTTATATCCAAACACCTAATAATATTATATTTAGTAGATGCAGACTCATGTGAACTAGCAAGTGACCAGAAACTTTCCCTCCATGGAAACATAATCCAAAAATAAGTGAAATAGAAACCATAATACAATCATTAATGTAGAATTAATACAATCAATTTGAAAAGTACAATAAAAAAACCCCCTTTTATATAAATCTATAAATTGTCACTGACTATTCCATAATTAACAGATATAGATGAAATACCTCCACATACCCCAATATACCACTACGTACCCGATATTAGACTACATCAACGCATAATAAAATCCCATAACTCTACATACATCCTATCCAATACAAGTTTCTAAAATTACAATGGGCGGCGAAGCCGCCCACATATGCAATTTCTAGTTCCACTGTATAAAATAGGTAAATTGTGTCGAATATCGTGCATATGTTATTATTTGCAGACATAGTCTAATGTATTCTCTCCTAAGCCAAAGTAACATGCGAGGCTCAAGATTCTGACAAACATTTCACACATTGCATGACAGAATTATGGAAAACTACGGTTCATTGACCGTAAATAGTTTAGAAGCAATGCATAGTGAATATTTCGTGGCAATACTCCGTACTTTGTATTGCCAGGGACGACATGCAAAAGGAATTTAGTATGAAGCCTCAGTACGAAATTGTTGGAAACGAAGTACTAGACGAGTTGATTACATAATAAAGGTAAATTTGGTTCCTAGATTACTATGCTTCGATTTTCGAAGAGAAATTGAAGACTGTATTTTTATTACAGGATGCCGAGGACTTGATTTGTATTACAGAGGACAACAGTAGTCTTTTGATCAAATCCAAAAAATCAAATACTTTTTGTATTTGTATCTTAACATATTTTTTTGATGGGAATATTTTGTATTTATATATTTTTAATATTAATAACGCTGGCCTTGGTGGCTTTATATCACATACATAATCAGTTTACTTTTACATGTGTTTTCATGTTATGCAGATATAATTTAAAAATGCAGAAATTTATTTATGATAAAGAATTTTGTATCACTGTACAGCAGGGTTGGCAATGGAGCCAATGGAGTTCAATGGTTACGTAAATGGAACTCAAAATACTAGTATCCATTGGCTCCATTCGCAGCTCCATTGACAACCCTGCTGTACAATGTACAGTAATCGAAATTAAACAAACACTTCGAGGAATCATGTTTGATTTTTTTTCGCCACCCCTATTGTACAAACATTAAAAAAATAACACTGTCAGATAATTGTCCGGATCCCCCTATGCTAATAGCTTGTGTTTTTTATATTCTCTTTGATTATCAATTTCATCCACCTCACAAACTAAAAAACTTTCTACAGATTCAATGAATTCATCTGACATAGAACTATCATGTAATTTCTTTATCTCGTTATACCAAACATTTAACTCTTGATCATCACGCCTTCGTTTATTCGTAGATGTTAAAATATTCATTTCATCTAAATAATCGTCAGATTCTAATTCACCTAAACAATTTTTTAATCTATCAATTATATCGACATGTGTAGCTTGTTTGATAATCTTCAAGTGCGAAGGTTTAAAAAAGTTTTTAGTATCTGAATATTTATTAAAAACATCAATTATATCTTTGAAATTATTTTCGGGTGATTCATTTAAAGCATCTTGATTCTGATTTTGTTGAACGTAAATATCCACATTAATTCTTGCTTCCAAAATATCATCAAAACACCACTCTGTAATTTTAGCATCTTTCCCGAACTTATCCAATACCCAATGATAATAAAAACCTTGGAATTTTAAAGATAAATTTGTACTATTATTATTATTATTATCATCCAACCTATTTTCAAGTTCAAATTCCATTGCCTTAAGAAATACTTCTTCATAATCTTTATCAATCATCGAATATAAGAAATCCAATACGTCAGTTCTTTTCAATTTTTGATCCAATCGAAGTACTCGAAATAATTCAACAAGTACTAAGCTAACAACTCTACCCAATAGTACTTGAAGATTTTAATATAGATATCTCTACAACAAGTTCAAATAGCTCAAAATCCAGA